TTAGAATTTTATCAATGTTTAAAAAGATAGTTGCCTGTTTTGTTTTCAACTCCAAAAATGGCACTGTTAAGGTCAGTATGGGATGAAATATGTTTTTCTTGCAAAAGCAACGTTTGTAGTTTATTTTTCCTTTTTATGGCAAATGTTTATTATTCTTTCACGAATTTTCCTCAGTACACCTTGCATTTGACATTGATAATTTTCATATATATGAAACTTTACAGCATTGATAATAAGCAGGTGTGTTGTGCAACAACATGCATTTGTCCATTGTTTAAATGGAAACGGATGACTTGCAAAATTTCTAGTTATATTTTACTGAATGAAGTTGTCAAAGATATTGTTATCATGTGAAATGAAATATTCTTCATATATATGAAACTTTACAGCATTGATAATAAGCAGGGGTGTTGTGCAACAACATGCATTTGTCCATTGTTTACATGGAAACGGATTACTTGCAAAATTTCTAGTTATATTTTACTGAATGAAGTTGTCGAAGATATTGTTATCATGTGAATTGAAAATATCTGTAAGATATATTTAACCCTTCAATTTTGTTTTCTATTTTAACATTAAATGTACACGCATTACCAAATACATGTTGCACTCATCGTGTGCGCCTTATCACGATCGCATGAACGGAAAAATCCGTAGAAATTCAATGTAAAAATGATGGCATTACAATTCGTATAAAAGACGTCAGTCAATATACATTGTAAGACTTATATATAAAATGTATTTCCTAAAAAGGTTATATCATCGACCATAGAATTGCAAAATTTTGATTTGAGCCAGATTGTTGATATCCTTGTAACGTCAGCTTATTTGTTAATAGTTTGCAAGAACATGCTCTTGCGTATCGAATCAAATGCGAGACATGCACGTGCAGGGGATAATGGTATATTTTACACAAGTTAAGTTGACGACTGAAGGGTTTTTTCCGATCAGGACAAGGAATACATGGCTGATGTGACCGGTCAAAAGGGATTGCTTACTCCTCCATGACATATGATCCCACTTCTGGTGATGTTTGAGGCCCGTTTTTGCTCTCCTCCACATTTGTATTTTTTCAGTGGACTTTTTAGCTTGATTACGGTTCGTTATCTCCGTATTTCATTGCAAATACAACTTGTCGTTAGTTTTAAAGTTGACTGCCTATAAGTTCATTTTTTATACTGATTTGTCTATTAATATTGATTACTCCCTTTACCCTGTCATGACAAAAGCCTCATTGTTTGTGTTTATCTTCCACAGGGGATTCCCCTCCTTCATTGTAACTGATCCCATCTTTGATGTTTCCAGGGGTCTGTGTTTCCTCTGATCTCAGTCTATTTTGTTAGATTGTATTTCTGGGCTTGATTCCTGTTAATTTCACATTATGATAGAACACATACAAATATCTAACTCAGTAAAACATTCTTAATGAACTGCCTCTTTCTATTAGCTTTGATTTACTTCGAAGTATGTTAAAACATTTGTCACTACTTTACATGAAGATGTTCTATTAATTATTTTAATCCATATCCCATGATGGGTAGTCTAACAGCCGAAGCCTGATTACACAGGCACCGGGACCAAAAAAAATATTAATTAAATAGAAGTTCTTAGAACATGTAGTTTGTTGTAAAACGTCGCCGAGTCTTCAATTCTCCTCCAGAAAGATAACGATAATAATCATTTCGAAATCTTATTACCATCTACAGGACACCGCAAATTATATTCCAAAAATGATTTGACTACTTCTTAAAATGTAAGAGGAGTTCTGGTTACTAAGTTTATGTAGAAAAAAAGTATATCGCGTTAATGAAATGTAAGGAGAAATGTAAACAGTATCCAAGCTCAAAAGTCCATTCAAACAATATAAATCAGCAGCCGAGCAAACTCGGACCTTTAAAAAAATCAGAGGTGGGATCAGGTGTCATAGAGGAGTGAGCATCCCCCAGACCAAGGAAAATTGTTCCAAAAATGGATTGGCTAATGTTTAAAATGTAAGATAAGTGTGAGAAAGAAAATAGTTTGACAGAGGACAGAAAGAGAGGGAAAAGCATTATTATTTCCAATCTTTCTTAAGAAAATAAGCGTATATTATCATATAGGTACGAGCCAAAATGATATGGAAAAAATTTGACGGCCTTAAAAATTGTTATAGAGCATTACAAGCGAAGAGACCTACAGACAGCGGGGATGTAACAATATGCTCAAACTTCTTCAAGAAAATATGGGTAAGAATATTGATAAAAATAACTAGGAAAAAGAATAAAAAGAAAAAGGGTGAATTCAAAAAAATGACCAAATGCATATTTATCAACCCAAATTAAAAATACAGGCAACGAAAATAGATTTCTATGTCTCAGCATATGTGTTTAGATAGTGTCTAAATACCTGCCAAATATCTCATTGATATCTCAATTAACAAAAAAGTTGTGAAATAAATAATAATGCTTTATGTTGAAAATAAAGACTTTCCTGATAATATTCAAAGTATTGAGCTTTAAATGTGGACTGTAGTAACTTGTTTAATCAAGTTGTGGTCATGGCTGATGTTTAAAAAAATGTTATACCAAGTCAGGAGTGCAACAGAAAAAATGTAGTGTTGCCGAAAAAAAACATCAATTGTAAAATTCTGAAAGAAAATTAAGACAAAAAAGAATTTTCAAAGTGTAAAACAATAACTGATATACATTCTAAAAGTTAAAAATGTTATATAAATCACAAGCAGCATTAATGAGAGTCAAGTAAATGTGCATACCCAATTATGTCAGGAGTGCAACATTTGATGTTTTGCTCCCAAGCATGAAAAAACTATTAACATATGATTTTCTGATTTTTATTTTGGAAAATAAAGATACAGAAAACAAATAGAATTTTTTACCAAATAGATTTATCAATTACAGGATCTGTCTGTGCTTGTCTGTGCTTTAGATCGATATTTCTATGGTCAGGAGTGCAACACATTTTTTTTTTAAAGATTCAAGTTGTGTGACGAAAACACTTCTATTCATGCTTAGAAGTATTCATTAATTAGTAATGATCTTATTGTATAATTTAATACTAAATTATCGATAGTTTTGTTATTAAAATCCTTTCTTTTTCAATTTTATCAATGCAGATGTGTTTTTATCTTTTTGTGATTTTTTTAATGAATGTTAAAAATAAACACTAAAAAATTGTCATAAAATTCAAGTAATTCCTCCTCAACTTCACTGAAACAACAGAACAAGTTCTTATGTAATTTTCACTTAAATTTTACTGCAGTCAGGAGTGCAATAAAACTGCTTTATAATTATCAATGCTTTTTAACTATCTTTTCTAAAAAATAAGATGAAAAAAATGTTTGATAGTATTTGATGTTCAAAACACTATGTCTATCAACAAATTAGGGAAATTTTATTAGTATTTTTTGTAAGAGAACTCGTATAAAAAATTCTTTTTTGGCTTAGATATAAAGAATTGACTTGAAAGAACAAAAAAGTGAATTTTGGGAAATTTTATTGCTTCATATTTTTTCATATTAAAACTTTTCAACCAGAATTGAACAAATAATGTAAAATAACAATCAAAAGCCAATTTCTGTCATATATACAAGAGAAAATACTCAATCAAGGACTAGATTTAATCATTTATACCACTTTTACCATTTTGAAGCATAAAAAACTATAATTTCTTGTGATTATGTATTTAGACAGTCTTTTAAGGTGTAATGATATTTTCTTTTTTCAAAGAAATTTTAATAATAAAAATTCTGTAACTTTTTAATCCAAGTGTCTATTCTATTGCCACTTCAGGATTTTAAACTAGAATGCATGTGTAATATGATGATATAAGTGAAAAATATGTTATAAGTAGTTGAATTTTTCCAAAAAATTTCAGTTTGGTGGTCATTTTTTTTTAATTCACTCAAAATGGAATTGCATTTTGTGATTATATAAATGTAAATTTAAATAACTTTTAATTCATAGCATATTCATAAACACATTATTTATTATTTTTTTTAAGTTGGAATTATTATTGTTTGCACTTTTTATCGCAGATGCTACATTTTTTACGGATACCATCTGCTGAGGTATACTTTACGTATACAAGATATATTGGTTTCTTTTTGAAGTTTTTGGCGTGCAACAGCTTTTGATTTGTATATTAAATGATATTAATTACACAAATATTCAATCGATATAAATGTACTTTCTGTTACTTGGTTTCAAAATCATGAACTCTATTTTATTTAGGTTATGACGTCGACCAAGTAATAGGACAAGGAAGTCTGCTATAAAAACACAAGTGCAAATTAGTACTTGACAGTAGTTTTCCTTTAAAAAAAACCGTCGAAGTGCACTGCATAACATAAGTTCTTTCCTTTTCTTGTCACCTCTATCTCTTAATCACATTCATGCATATGGCTAAATAATACACCAATCAATTGAGTTCTGCAAAATAATAGACAAATTAAAATGCATGCAAAAACTTTTAGAAGAATGCAAATAAACTGAAATTGTATTGATCTACATGTAGATGTGGAATTGAAATGTTTTAATTTCTATCTACATGAAAACAAAATATACTTTCCTGAGCGAGTGATTTTATAAAGAATAGAAAGGTTTAAATATCCTGACAGATTCATGCTAGTTTTAATTTCATATTACTTTTATTTATTTATTATCTATTTTTTATCTAAAAGAGTTTTTTTTTTTTTTTAAATTTCTTTGTTAGCTACAAAAGAAAAGTAAATTCTTGCGTAAATTGTTTCGTGACACTATCTTTACAACTGCATAAAAGTAGAACGGATTTGCTATCCATTTGAATAGAATAGTACCATCATCTTTTATTCAGAATTAATTCAAATAGTATGTTAATGTTTTAGCAAATGAAAATTTGAAGAATATGTATTGCATTAACTTCAATTTTTTTCTTTCTATTTTTTTCATTTTTTTCTGTTATTTTTCTAGTCTTTGATCTTACCTTATTATTATCTATAAATACATGTATGCCATTGTCCCGCGGTTTAATTTTCCATTCTTGTAGCTTTTTCCGATCAATAATTCTTCATATGATGTGATGCGATTGTATTGCACATTTATGATAGGAAATTCTTATTAATTTGGGGATTTACACAATAAAAAAATAATTAAAACGTTATCTACAAGATAAAATGGCAACAAACGAAACAATGCCCGAAACTATCACGATGCTTCCCAGGTAGAATACCTTACGACATTTGTGTCCCGATATCAAATTAATCACTTCCACCAAAGCAATATACACGCTAGCTAATTAAGATTGTTGGACAAGATAATGCTGTGGTCATTTGCCAGCCACTGTAGTGTCAATAGTAATGGATAGAGACCATTCCTCGTATTGGACATATAACTGATATTGAATACGGTAGTCATGACCATTGTATTCTGACGTATACCTTGTAAATGCTTCTTAACACGTCAATTAATTGACACCGAAATGTTATAAATACGATAGGTCTCCAAGACAATGACAAATAATGAATGAAATGGTGAGCTCGGATTTCTCCCTGATTTAGAAAAATAAAAACCATGAACAATTCCAGCATATTCGCCGAACTGAGTACAGAGGCATGGATTACACCAGTGCTCATTGTATACGGACTTATATTTCTGACTTCTATAATAATGAACTCGTTAGTTGTGGGGACTTTTTGTAGATATGAGTGTTTGCATTCCATTCACGATCGTCTTATTTTCGCGCTGTCTTCCGTAAATATGATCCTTCTAATTGGAATGCCTTTTTACCTGATGTATTCTATAGGTTACTCCTTTGTGTTAAAGAGTCAGTACTTCTGCCTTCTGAACTATGTGATTTTACACGGTGGAATCGGATGTTCCGTATTCCTTCAGTTAGGATTAGCATTAGATAGATACATGTGCATCGTGTGGCCTTGGAAACATTCCAAAATACGCAAGCGATATGTGATTTTATATGTCTTAATATCTTACATTTTTGGATTTGGAGTTAATCTTCTACCAGCCTGGGGATGGAATAGCTGGTCCGAATACAACAAGTGTGTCTGGCAGAGTTTTCCCTGGGAATATCAATACTTTGTACGGATTACAATGATGGCGATTCTTGTCATTAACCTTGGAATTCATCTCTATGTTCTTCATGTCGCTAACCGTCATTCTAGGAAGATCAGACGGCTTATCAAACGGATTAGAAGAGAGCATTCTAGGACAGGTGGGTGTGAACACACTGCAGTGACCACTGTAGTTCTTCTGGCGGTCATTTCCTCCTTGTGCTGGTTTCCATACTGGATTGCGGCCTTAATTCTGCCACAAGATACACTGACCACCATCTTTATTCTTCAGATTTTATACGCCATCATTATTCTGAATTCCGTGACAAGTCCGCTTTTATTTGTAATGAGGAATAGACATTTCAGAGATGCTATGTGTAAATTGTTAACATTAAATCCAAAGTTGCATCACTGTGGTACTTGAATTGTAAGAGAGAGAGAGAGAGGGAGAGAGGAGAATTTTTACAAATTATAAAAATATTGATGCATTTATTTAAAAGGAGATTTTCTGTTTGACTCTTGACTTTTTAAATTAAAAACTGCCTAGGAATAAAGCAGAATTGCATTTCCCTCTGTTCAAGTCTGAGATATGTTTGAATGCTTTTCCTGAAACTTGAGAAGCAAGCTGATTCTGTAAAATGACTCTGTAAAATTTGGAATCAAAATATCAATAAAAGGTAAAGAGATAACGAAACACAAAGTTGCTGAGGTACTTAACTATGATCAGAGCTCAGTATATCAACATATATAAACATCTGTGTGAGATAATGGTATCATAACATACTCTGTTCTAAGCTATGTTTCAATGTTTTCCTGAAACTGAAGCTGATTCTGTAAAGTGACGTGTACTTGTTTTGATTGATGTTCAATGCAATATTTCTTGAATATACAAAAGACATGAATCAGTTCAATGAAAATTGTTCAATGAAACATCATGAAAATCAGTTCAATTATTCGCAGCTTTTTAAATACTGTATATTTATTTGTAAAAGAGAATCAACGTGTTCTCCTTCTTTAATATGGTTATATTTCTTGTTTACCGAAATTTTAATCACTATGATTTAGAGCAATTTTTGAAACCTTTAAAATTGTAACTGCTTACTAAGATTAGCGCGGCACTATTGTTGCTTACACGTTTGATCAGTGGTTTGTAAACTTTTGCCTTGTAATCGTCATTCTGGAATATACGTGTAAGCGTTCACTGTGTGAGCATCTTTGATATTATAATAAAGAGATAATGCTAATTGACTGTAAATCCATCGTAAGGATTTGTAGAGGAGCAGATTTCTGTGGAACAGTCAGTAAGACAAATGGAAATGACTCCTCACACTGTAGACGCCATACCTTACTACATGTATTATTAGTATATTTAACAAAGTAAACTCAGAGAAAGCAGCAAAGATGACCTTAAAATCATCTTTATTGTTTTTTCTATATATTTACTTTATACAATAAAAATACTGTTATTTATCCGTTGAATAAAATTGATATTTTATCGGGCGTTATTTTCGCAGTGTGTTAAAAACAAGCGTGACATTTTAACACAGTTGAAATAACACGTCTGTGACAAAAACTCTATTTTACCTTATTTCATGAAAGGGTTACAGAGACAAAGTGGAGGAAAAAGAGACTGCTTTTAGAATTGAACTTTTTTATACTTAAAAGTATTGAATTTTATATAATACCTTAAAAAAGTTTTGCTGACACGTAAATATTCCCCAACCCTTTTGAAACGTATGCCAGTGCAACAATCATAAACATAGTCACCCTGGTCTCAAGATCCATGAAGCGGATTGTTCGTAGATCCAGGAATTTTACAGAATCTACTGAAAGATGCTATGAACATATTTTTAAATTTGCATGCTTATATTCCATGTATTTATACCAGGTTAACATTTTAATTTAAAAAAAAAGTCGTGTGACATTGACTGACACAATAACCTAGATTTTGTTGATACGACCTAGCTTTGTTCTTTCCGAATTCATGCACAGCTGAGTTTGTCAAAACTTTGCTATAATCATATTTTGATAATAAATCTATCCATTTACGATACAAATATCTTAAATGAAATATATGATTATTGTCCACTTTATCTATCTCTTCAATGAAAATACAGTATCGAAATTGAATAAACAAGAACTATTTTGACACAAATACAGACCAATAAAAAAAAATATTTTAAATTTTCAAAATAAACAAAATAGAAAACGTCATCAACAAAAGACAAACGGGGGCGCATAAAGATTGGAAAATCAGAGACAGCAACTAAGAATTTGAGAGGAAAAAAGACAGAGATATCAGTTAACATTCTGCATGCTTCATACATGTATTGACCGTCCACAGTAAAAAGTCAAATAAATCGGCAAGGCATTCGTTACCCATTGAAACAAGCATTCTGAGAGTATTGCATTAGCAATACTAGTCCCCTACCGGCAAGTGTAATCTGGTTCCCGTTAAGAATTGAAAATGTCATAATTCCGTCAAAAATCAATGAAGCGGGACGATATGCAAACTTGATCTTTAATAAATCAAGGTAAAGTCACATACCAAAAATCAGCTCAATACCTGAAAGCGGTTAGAAGAAAATTGCGGAAAACCCTTAAAAATTGAAAAGGCCGTAATTCTATCAAAAATCAATGAAGCGGAACGAAATGCAAACTTGATCTGTAACTCATCAAGATACATTCACATACCAAAAATCAACTCAATATCTGCAAGCGTTTAGGAAAAAAGTGCGAAAAACCAAGTGGGACAGACTGACAGACGGACAGACAGACAGACAGACAGACGGACGGACGGACTCAGAGGAAACCTATAGTCCCCTCCGGTTTCACCGGTAGGGGACTAAAAATAAGACAAAGTATTCGTTATCCAATAAAATAAGTCTAAGGTGAGGTGAAATAAATATTCTTTTACTGACAACCTTGAAACCCTTTAAAAAGAGATAGATCCAGAACACTATAGCGGGTATTTACAAGTAGACGAACTAACACCATGAAGTTATCGATGGAATCTATTAAACTTCCCATAAAGAAAATAAAAAGATTAAACATCAGAAATGAATAGAAGGTAAGATTGATAGGTTATCATGGGAAACCTTACATCATCTGTGGAATATTAGGAGAGTAAATCAAAAACTACAGAAGGAAGGAAACTGTGCCGATTTTCGACACACTGTGTGTAGAATTTGTATTATCGGGAGTCGTAGAATATTGTGTCACAATATTCTACGACTCCCGCTTCTACAAATTTAAAGGAACGCTTATCATATCTTTGCAGATAACCCTTACATAAAAAAGTTCTGTACTCTTTTTAATAAAGTATAAAAGTATGGCTTTTTAAGCCCAGGTAAGCAACTAACTGTTTAATCAGCAAGGAAGTTAAGGATTTCCATAAAAGGTACAGTGACAGATAATTTCATCTTATTGTCATGAATGGTCTGAAAAATATTAGTAAAGTGAAATATGTAATTTTTGATTGCGCTACACAATCTTGAATTCAAATTAGAAAATTATTCGCAGAAGTGAACTCATTAATTACTGTTCAAATGAATGCTTACATTTATCTCTTACAAGGAATTTATCTCAAAGTTATTGTATTCGACAAATTACTAATATATTCTGTAATATTTAACAATACGGATATCTTTCTTTTTACATTTAGAAGTATAAATTCGATTTAAAGGCCGCTTAGATAAAAACAAAAAAGAAAAATGAACAAGTCAGATGAAAATTTTATTAGGTTTTTTGAACAATTTTTGAAAATTATTTCGCTCAGTTGAGTATCGAATAAGTTGGAGACCTACACACCATATGCAGGTGATATGAAGTTAACGCACAGTAATCAAGCTCAACAAGCCCTTAAAGCTAAACACGATTCTTAAAAGGAATTGGTCCGCCATATTCTTTTATTCAGTGGTTATATCCGGGGGCCTGTATATAGGCCGTTCACTTAGCCACTGTTCAGTGTAATCAGTTGTCACCTATGTAGACGTATGTATGCCACATAGCTACATAGCTATTATAAATCACTTATGTAATGCTCAGGTTTTAGAATTTGTGAAATGTTGACTTTAAACGAGACTGTTGATTTCCTTGTATATCGAAAAAAAAAATGTTTACTTCTACCACGGCAGGAGAGAAAGAAAACTTACAATTGTTGCACAGGTCAGTGCTGTACACAAACACACATACATGTCAACTGCTATAAAATGTAAACAAAGGTAATGTAAGATAACCAGCACGAACACATGTCGTCCATTCGACGCCGGTACCATAAAGCAGTCAGCTGTAACGAATGCGAAGGGTATACCTCAGTGCTGATATTGAAGATAGTAAATCTAATATGGCGTATGCCTGTTTACTTGTCGTATTCAGCTTAAAGTATCCGGAGTAAAGGAAACATGGACCTCTAAAAACATCAGAGGTGGGATAAGGGGCCACTTCGACCGGTCATACCCGCCTTGTGCTCCTTGACATGATCGGGTAAACGGAAAAATTCTTAGCTAGTTCAGAGTGAAAATAATTGCCTAGAAATTTGTATAAAAAGCTTCAACATTCGAGCAAACGAAAGATTGTATTTGCTAACCAAGTATATAGTATATAGTATCAACTATAGAATTTGCGAAATATTGACTTTAAACGGGACTGTTGATCGATATCCTTATATCTGTATCAACAACTTTTTGCCAATAACTTGTCTCCTTTTAGAAATTGTAGAACAATCATGCTCTTGATTATCGAATCAACTGAGAGACTATACTCAATATACAGTTGATAATGGTATATTGCTACATAAATAATGGAATTTGACGATAGAAAAGTTGAAATAATCACGTTTATCATGAAGTTTAGTTGATAGTTTGCCATTGACGTCTTCTCTAGCAAAATATCCAAATATGAAACAGGTGTGCCAAACTCTGTGGTGTCTTTTATTTCGATTTCAGAGGGATATATCGAATCAACGTAGGAAAGCATATGAATATTGTGAATTGATAAAACATATCAATTTATCTAAACATCGAATTCAAGGCCCCAATAAGACGTATATTTATTTGAAATTAATAATATTTGTAAAATAATATAAAAAAGAAAAAGCATCTAAATTTTCTGAATAATAAGAGATATTTTTGTAAAAAAAAATTATAAAAATAAAATTTCCCTTATTAAAAACACTATAGTTAACTATAGTTAACAATAGTGATAACGTTGACACTATGAAAACTATAGTTAACTATAGTGATAACTTTGACACTTTGATTTCCTGCAGTGACAACTAGGAAAACTGATTTGCTATAGTGATCACTATGACACTATAGTGATAACTATGAAAACATTGATTTACTATAGTGATCACTATGACACTATAGTGATAACTATAAAAACTTTGAAATACTTTAGTGATCACTTTGAAAAATTTGATTTACTATAGATATCAATCTAATATACCATATATCGTTATATATAAGATAATTAATCTATTCATCTTGTTTGATGTACTTAATGCTATAAATATAATGTGATTTACTGATATAAAAAGACCAAATAAAATGAAAGACAAACGATATTCATTTTAGAAATGTTGAGCCATTAGCAGCCATTGAAAAACATGAGGTTTCGAAAAGAATGCATAAAAATGAAATTCAAAATAAATTGTACTGCATGCAAAGTGCATAGAACTACTTGAAATACAAGACATTAACAAATAACTTTGGTAAAATGAGAAAATCTTTAAAACTGGATATTTTCTATGTTGTGCAAATAATTATATATATCTATCACATACCGTTATATAGAGTTGTGATAAATCTTTAACTTTCATTTATCATAGTGATTACTTTGTCACTTTGAGTAATCATAGTGATAACTTTTAAAACTATGATTAACTATAATGATAACTTTGAAAACTTTGATTAATTAATTAATGATCGCTATGACACTAAAATGATAACTTTTAAAACTTTGGTTTACTATAGTAATAACTTTGAAACTTTGATTAACTATAGTAAACTATAGTTAACTCTAGTTTCTATAGATTTTTTTCTTAGGGTTAGTCCGAATTTCCTCTGCATCACGATACATTTAACTATTTTCTTGCATGTTTTCTTTGAATAGTAAAACAGTTAATTTTGATATTGAATTATCTCACGGTTTTTTTTTTCATTAAGGAAAAACTGAATTTAAGATATTGTACTTTATATAACTCCGTCTCTATCAACTAAAAGCTTTAGTAAACGTAATCCTTAGACCTGGGGAATACTTGTTATTAGTACCTTGACAAATCTCCTTTTCACCAAAGAAATGTAAAAATGAAACACAAAACAAAGCAATACTTTAAGAAATTTAAAAATGCTATTTTTCGTTGGAAGAACGATGGATATTAGGCTAGGTCATTGTGAATCTTTAATACATGATGAAAATTATCTGTTAGAATCCTGACCAGTTGTACTTTGGTTTACTTGCATAAAAAAAATCTTGTTTTACGTGTTTTATTGATATGAAAGAACTTTCTACCTCAACCTCCTGCTCAACAAATTTTAAAAATAAAGAGGACAAAAAAAACAAAAAACAAAAAAACAAAAAAAAACAAAAAAAAAAAACAAAAAAAAAAACCTTATATACAAAAATCTTCATCGTAAAATCAATTTTCTTTTTTAAGAAATCCTCTGTACTCTTGGACATCTAGCATTCAAATGTTGGCAAGATTATAACAAGGAATGGGTCCTTTATCAAAATTGTGAAATACTTTACCTCTGCATTCGGGATGGATGCTCTAGGGTGGAACTAAGATGTTCATTTAATGAAAATACATTATATATATCATAAAATGTTCTTCTTTATTTAAGGACTTCTAACAGGTAAACTGTTTGCTTGATTATTATGAGTTCTCAACCTTTTACCAACGTAGTGAAATTCATGGTCCCTGGGACTATGGTTCAAGCCCTAGAGTAGGGCCTAATTGGTCAAATATTGAAAACATTACATCTTTGAAAATATTTTCTCAATGTTTTACTAGAACTGTAAATATCATGGCAGCCAGGGTTCAGTCTCCGTGGTGAGGTTAAATTGGACATGTATTGTAAATTGCATTTGAAAATTTTCTTCTTTTCGCAACGACAAACATGATATGTTTTAGACACTCCAGTGGGAATGCTGCTCAATTTAAAGAAAAAGAGGAAACTTTATTCAAAGCAAACCTAATCACATTTTCGAGGAAAGGCAGGAGCTATACAAAGTACTAGAAAGTAAAATATCAGTTATAAAAACAATATATAAAAGCAAAATTCATTATAATTATTCTTGTACGAGTCTTTGTTTAGTAACAATACATTTCTTTTAAAATTTTATTTGTACACAAATAAGACTGACCTCACTTAGTGCACATCTGCTATTTTTATCCCAAAACGAATTAAATCCACATCGAGCACTCTCCAAGAATAAAGAAGGCTACCGTCTCTACTTAAACATAATATTTAATTTAAAAGCAAGGTAAGTAACCTAAGTGCTAAAAAATATTTAAGATTTATTCTTTTAGGATGATTCCTCTCCATTTATTACATTCCTTTGCCACTGCGGTGATTGGGATGTAGTTTTTCCCCCAAAGTCGTCGCAGTGATCTAAGAATTGAAAAAAAAAATTAACTCGATGATATATGCTGGACGTTAAAGTAAATTGAATTTCATGCCTATAGTGAACGTCGAATACGTGTTGAGCTTTCCCTTGGTATATGAATGCTTGTGTATGTGACGCACTTGTATTTATATGTTAATGAATACAACCTATGATGACGTAATAATTAGATTCGGAAGTAAACAAGTAAAAAATATCACGTGATAGGATGCTTAGTTTTTGAATATTTGCATATAAGAGTCGTTTTTGCTAACACAAAATTAATTGACCATCACCTCCTTCAGATTTGTTTTGAACAATGGCACAGGACCCAGGAAAAGACAAAAACAAAGGCAAAAAGAAAGTCCCAGACAAAGACAAAGTGTGAGTGTCTGCGTATCGTGAATGCACAACACAATTATATTTTATCTTAAAAAGTAGCGATCACCTTATCGTGACAAAACACCGATTAGATGTTACTCTTGGCACGGCAGAGTTTGTTTTTTTTCTCTTTGTAGTCACACATTTATATTTGAAAACTGGTGACATCTGCCAGTTGTTCAAGTTAAATAATAAAATATTGTGTGTGTTTTTTCTTCTACAAGAATTTATGAAAAAATAAAATGCAGATAATTTCCCCATTGCTAACAATTTTGCTCAGAATAAAGATAAAGTATCCTGCTTTTTCTAAGTAGTTCATCATATGATCTGTTTTCTCTGTAGCGAAAGCCAAAGTAGTGGGGGTGGTGGCGGTGGTGGTTCATCTAACCACGGGTAAGTCTTCTTTTTCGTTTGGGCATAAAAGTTAAAAATCTAATATAAAATAAACGGATTGATATTTAGAATCTACAAATTTAAATCAATAGAGGGCTAAAGATGTTAGTAAATCTGGAAATCATTTAAGTTTTTCTGCAGTGAATTTTGAATCAAGAAAAAGAAATCAAATATTAGAGAAAATTTTTCAGAAAACAATTTTTCCTAGCTAACCCTAAAAACGATCAAATGTGAAGCCGATATGAATGAACTTGTTGAAAGTTGTTGAGTACTGCTACTGTACAAGTTTCCTTTAATGAATTAATTTCAATGTAAGACATCAATCCATTTTTAAGGATCAGGAATAGTATTACTCAGATTTTTTTTACATCTTGCTCAACATCAAACGTAACATATAGTTCAGAATATAGGAGAACAGACAAAATTTGTTTTTGAACGATTTTATTTTCCTTAAAACACGAAAGTACTAGCTAACTTTACTAAAATAAATTCTCCAAAAGGAAAAGGTATATTTTCGTAAACAGAATTCTCATGCACCCAGAGAAAACAAAAGTTTATAAACCACCTAGATAAATATTTCTATATCAAAGTAAGTACTAAAAGCCTCTTAAGTACATGATAAGAATTTAATAATATGTCATAAAAATCAATAGGAGGCAGCCAGTCCACAGTAAACTAAGTAATCCGTCCCGAAACAAGCTCGCAAAGGTCAGCATTTGCCGGATGCATCGGGAGAATAAATTAAACTGTGATCAGCGATCACAAAAATTGTTAACATCAATTTATATTTTAAAAAGCAAATGATTTCGAATTAAATATATTGTTTAGATTCAAAAAGTTATTGGCATAACAAATGATGCAGTAGTACACAAATCACAAACGACGCTTCAACATGTATAGGCTTAAGGCGGTTATCTAAATTATCTAAGTTATCTGCTTAAGGCGGATAACGAAAAATTATTCCTTGAACATCCAATATGTTTGACGTTTCAATTATATATTGTAAATTTCAGCAAACGAAAAATAAAATTCATTATAATAAATATATTAAACTACCTTTAACTTATAAATTAACAACAGCAGTCACGGTAGCGGCCATCATAGCGGTGGGTCTCACAGCAGTAGCTCATCGCACAGGTAAGATAATATTCAATCATACATTCATTTAAGTAGCTAAAATATGAAACATGCAATGAAAATGAAAAAAATAAATAAATAAAGTTTGTCTTAAAAATGTTACCTCATACATATTATTTTTCTTCAGCCTGATGCAAAAGAAATTTACTTTTTAATTGATGTTATTTTCTAGACTTTAGTCTGTTAATTAATTTAAGTACTGTTATTTAAATTTATGTAATTTTATAACTTTAAAACTGATATCTTTGCTAAACAACAGCGGCCATTCAGTTATAGTACCCCAGACTCCTCCAGGGTAAGTTGAATCATTTTTTTATATGATAGCGATTCAAATATTTATTACATAGTAAATATACAAGTTTAGAAAGACAGGGAATGTGCATAATATACTGTTAAATTTTTTTAAAATTACATTTCACACTTTTTATTTTCCTATTTTAAATGTATGAAGTTGTTTGATTTTAATGAAGAGAATAATTTTTTTTTAAAAATTATTACATGAAAATAAAAATCATTCATTTAATCGAACTTGATATCTTAACTAAATAGCACAGGGGGCGGAGGAAAGAAAGGATATATAACACCACCGCAATCACCTCATGGAAAAGGGAAATAATAAACGGTAAGTCACCACCGTCATCTCCTAAATCCAAAAAGTAAGTCTCATACCACCTTAAAAGTAAAAAGTAAGTCATCATACCACCTTAAAAGTAAAAAAGTAAGTCATCATACCACCTTAAAAGTAAAAGTAAGTCAACATACCACCTTAAAAGTAAAAAGTAAGTCTTATCATATTATATCACCATAATCATCAAGTAAAACTTGAGTCATATCAGGTCTCTCACCGCAATACAAGAATGCTATAACGTTACTTTTCGGCACTCTTTTCATTTCATTAATACATCTTTTAAATTTCTCACATATCTTTCACACTCCCAATTTGTGCTAGAGCGTCTAGTTTTGAGCTATTTCAAAAAATACATAAATATATTATAACTTTTCATAGTGGATTTTCATTCTTTCTCCTGTTCGTACATGTAAAACTAGCGTAGCGGCGGGTTCAAGAAAGTGAAGTGAAAGGCTCATCTTCAATACACTTTCTTCTTCCAAGCGTCACAATCACACGGCCAATTACACAGTAAAACATTAGACTCCGCCATATACACAGTAAGAAAAAGTGTTATCAACCTTTACTACTCCTACGAAATCAGTCAAAACAAGACCTATACTATCATAATGACCACTTTTAAAGCAAAAGAAAAATGTTTTATCATATACGCCATCCCGCATAGTCAAAATTTCAATGATTAAACTTAATTTGTAGATGTATAGGTTTTCTTATATTTCAACAGTGAAATACTATAATTTATCCCTTAAATAAAAGAGATAGTTTTGCAAGTGATACTTTCATAGTTAAAATGTCAAAAGGGATATATTCACTGTAAAAATATCCTAGAAGAAATTGCGGCAAAACTTTCGATTTTCCTTCACCTCAGTAAGTGTTATGAAGAAATTTTAGAGTAAATAAAATTATCCTGATAAGGACGAAAACTGCCAAAGTTCCTCCAAATTGCTCTTTAAATTGTTTACAAAATTCACTCTCAAAGCGCTTGGCTACTTGATGATCTCTCACTACTACTCAGCTCTGATGTCACAACCAAAGACATTGCATCACGAAAAGACAGTGGTTAAAGAAATACTTAATAATGTAATAAATAGAGAATTCATTTTTCGTAGTTGGAATTTATTTCACTTGTGAGACACGGTTTTTGCGATATTTTCACTCATGCTGTTGTGAAAATATAAAATAATCTTGTCCGAATCATGAAATAATTTCATATCCAACTATATATAAAACACAGAATATACTCTATAAGTACAATATTGAAGATTGTTATTTCTAGTGATCATATCATCCTGAGGTATTGGATGAATAATGTGAGATTTCCAATTTACTTAATTGTTTTTAAGATTTAAACATTCACATCTTCTCATTTTCAGGATTTATTGATTGTATTTTTGTGTAATTGCTTACTTTTTATTTATTATGAAATTGATTTTTTATCTGAACATTAATTTTCTTTTCAGTTTTCGGGTTTATGGTTTTTCAACTTTATTGAAGTTTCAATATCCTGTACTTAAACCATGCGTTTCCAGCTTACGTAAATCTTTTACAGTATAATGTAAAATTTAATTCTCCATATCAAAATGCAGTAAGCTCTGACTTATCCAACTTATCCAATAAAACGTACTTTTAAAATCAATCTTATGCCTTTTGTCTCATCAACATGTACTTACTGACCAAAAAAATATCATAAAGTGTTTTTTCTTCACAAAAATTGTTATATTTTAATAATAAAAATCTAAGAATCATATGAGGGCGCGGACATCTAACTCTAAAGATCTGGTTTACAGAACAGTCGTGTAATGTCTGATCCCAATTATATAATGTTTGTCTGGTTATTCCTGAAATAATGAAAAATAAGAAGATAACAAACAGTTATCCAGCTCAAAATCCAATCAAACAAATTGGCAGCAGAGCAATCACGGGCCCCAAGAAACATCACATTCTGTTCACATATATATGAGTTGTTTCTCTTTGTGTTTGTTAACAAGATTCATATTTTTGGACAGATGAAGACATTGAAGCAATGATTTTAAAAAATATATACTTTAGGTTTGATAAACTTTCTAAAGGAACGAAAATTGTGTCAATTCAAACAGAATCAGAAATCATAAGAGAATATTTTTATTTAGTTTTAGTTTCAATTTGTTTAAAAAATATATCTTTACGGAGGGAAAATATGTTTCGTTAAAAATTCCAACGTTCAGTTACACTTTCACAGTATACCTCACAGACGCACCTGCGTGGCGCAATGGTTAGAGCGTTCACTCTAGACTCGCGGAGTAAGGAGTTGATCCTTACGTCATGGTTTTGAATCCACTGTGTGACGGGAAGACATCTTATGGACGAGACCGTATATTCAAGGTATCACACCGGTAATTGTTTTCACTATGTAATTCTATATAGAATAAAAAATCATTAAAAATCAGGTATTCGAATTCATGAAAAAATATTTAGCAGGAAGTGTTAAACGTTACCAGTCACATCAACTGACACCAAAAAATAGGGTACCTACACGGCATTTTCTGATTTTTTCCATCCGCAAACAGGAATACCCTCAAAACCACGTGTATTCGATGTGTTTATAAACATCCTGTGTGCACCCCAGGAAGTGGCCTCCTATGCCCCGAAAGAAATAGTTCCTGTCAAAAACCTTTAATATTTTACAAAGTACATAAAATATCCTAAGCACAGATACCAAAAATGTAAAAATAGAATAAGGGAAATTAAAAAAATTCTCACAATAAAAAAAATATTTCTTTATTATGTATGGAACTACAATTGACTAAGTTCATTTTGATTGGTCAATTACCGGTGTGATACCTTAAACCAAGGTCCCGTGTCGAAGTAGGTCCTGGCACGAAAAAGATCCTTCACTCCTTAAGGCCGTACATTGACGGCAGTTGGTGGCGTCTCGATATAAGTGAACAATTCTCGAAGGGATGTTAAACAAACAAACAACATTCACAGAAAAAGGACACTTTCGTTAATCATAATTAATGAGTGAGTTTTCTTGATGATTCTTGATTCTCTACAGCCTGAATTAATAACATGCGCATTTCGCAACTTTCTTTGACCTAGCTGTTTTAATTCTTAAAATCCAGCAATGAAATTTTACTTTTTAAAGGATTTTTTTCTTTTAAAATAAATTTAATAAAAAATTATCTCAGAAGTCAATTCCTTAATTTGTTTTACCTTTTATTTTCAATATCCCTTGATTTTATGAAAGCTTGGAAGTTATTTTTTATGATATATGTTATGTTGAATTTGGGATACTCAAGAAGTGTTACACTGGTAGTGTAATTTAAATATAAAAAGGTTCATTTCATTGCATTAAACTTTCACAATATATGTGAAGTAACTGATTCTAATGAAAATGTGCTTATATCTACATAGCATCGCAATTCTCTGTATTCTTAATGATTGCAAGCGGTTATGATCTCAAATTAAAACATTCTCTGTCGACAATTACATGCAATGAAATTTATCTCCTTTTCTCGTCCAGCATACTTAGAATACGTTGAAGGGAAAGAGCTCTTAAGAGTAAGGAAATCTGATAAAAACACATTCTAACCACAAGAATACATGCATATAAAAATGGAATACAATTCAGGTAGTTAACAATACAAGTGAACCCATATATCTTCTCAAACACACCGAACGAATAATTAAAAATTTAAACCAAATATATGTGTATTACGTATGCCGTTTATTTGATTAAATTGAAAAATACATTTTTTTTTTATAAAACTAATATTATAAAGCTTATCCGAGAAATATTTGACATCCACAATGATATGTATATTCTATTTTAAAATCACATTTTACATATTCATTACAATATTTTTAAAGGAGTTTTAGTAACAAATAGGTTGCTAAAATAGGTGCTACAAACATTTGCAATATCTCAAATTAAAAGTTTATTTTATACATACTTAACATATTTTTATGACGATCTTTATAGTAATGTCTGACAGGGTTTATTAAATATATATGAGCAAAAATTTAAGAGTAGATTTCTTTGATATCTTACATAGTTACAGAGATTTTGTTGATTTGAAAAATAAAATATTATTAATTATTATTTAAAAGAATATGATGAATAGTTTAGCATACCTATTGCATACTACTTTTTACATATATGATATTCCATGGATTCAACAAAATCTTTAAGCTGTAAATAAGCAAAAAATTAATGACATGAAAAATATTGAATCTTTATTAGGTTAGATATGTTTTGGCATGTATTAATGTTATAAAAATTAACTAATGAATTCAGTTCATTATAAAATGCCAATAACCTTTTTTGTATAAAAAAAAAAGTTGAGATACGGTAATACTGACAAAAGGTTACTCTTATGCATGAAATTTTAAATTCGTAAATATGCATGAGATGTTTTTATATCGTATGATTTTGCAAGCAGTACCAATCGCGAAATAAAATTACTCGCTTTTTATTTTAAATACTGAAATATCCATTAACATTATATTAAAACCTGTAATTAAAAGGGTCAAAAAGTAAAAGCACTATAAAGCCAGTTGTGCCTAACCTTATTAGTCCCCTATCGGTGAAACCGCAGGGGACTATAGGTTTCCTCTCTGTCTGTCCGTCCCTCTGTCTGTCTGTCAGTCTGTCCCACTTGGTTTTCCGCGCCTTTTTTCTAAACGCTTGGAGATATTGAGCTGATTTTTGGTATGTGAGTGTATCTTGATAAGTTACAGATCAAGTTTGCATTTCGTTTTGCTTCATTGAATTTTGACGGAATTATGGCATTTTCAATTTTTACTGGGAACCAGATTACACTTGCTGGTAGGGGACTAGTATTGCTAATGCAATACTCTCAAAATGCTTGTTTTAACATTAAATTAATGTTAGGCACAATTTATTGGTTTGTGTAGAAAATTGAATTGCTCTTGTAAGTTATTTTTATTTTTTCCTATTGTTATTAGTATTATTATCGTTATTATTATTATTACAAATTTAGAAAGAAAATATACAGCTATGGTGTACATGAAATGTGGAGATAACGAACAGTATTCAAGCTCAAAGTCCATTTAGACAATACAAATCGGGAGCAGAGCAAATAACGGACCTCCAAAAACATCACAGGTGGAATCAGGTGCCATGGAGGAGTGAGCATCCCCTGCCGACCGGTCACACCCGCCGTGTGAGTCTTGTCATCATCGGGTAAAACGGAAAAATCCGGACAAATCAAAGAAGCCATAAAAATATCAAATTTTTGCTAGTTACTACATGATTGATCCATAAATTATAAAAATACAAAGCCATCTATTTCTTTTTCAAATTTACAAGGATACATAACCCTGATTTTTTTTTCTAAGAACCCGTTACCTATAAAAGTAACTGCTAGTTGTACAAATGTTTCAATTGCTGTCTTGTTTAGACGAAGGAAATAGTTTACTGCATTCAATGTTTGCACCATGCCGCAATACTTTCTTCCTTGTCCAGAATCTTTATCCTTTCCTTTTAATTAAAAAAAAAATGTTTAGTTCGTTTACAGAGCTTTTGTAAAGATGAAACAAATTTCAAGAACTGGCGTTGAGAGTTATGGTATGATTTCTAGCTAAACGTGGACAAGTTGTCCAATAAAAGCTTGAACTACACTGTTATTTATACAGAACTCAAACGGGTAACCACGTCATCAAAACATGACAAACAAAATCTGGTGTTGTTAAAACACAAAGACCTGACGCTAGCTGCGGAAGAAAGGAAATGTTAAAACCGGGAAAAAAAATTATAGCTGAGAGATAAACTGACGCTTTTCCGGAAGAAATACATATCAAATCTTCAAGTTAGTGTCAGGAGTAGGGGGAATGCTGGAAGGAAACAAGGGGAACAGTGTTTTAGCTGATCACAAAGAGACCAAAAATGTTTGACACGACAGCGTGTCCCTTTGTGCATCCAATCAGATTCACTTGTTTTACTATTATAACAAACTTATTTGGCGTGCTTTTTTTAATTAAAATTATATGGAAATTTTTTCCATCCTGGAAACAGAACAAACACCATACAAAGAAAAGTTAAACCCTTGTTTTCAAATAAAGTAACCTTTACTTTTTTATTTTTATTTTCCTTTTAAATCAGAATTTCAAGGAAAGAGGTGCTATATACAGTTCTACAATGACAGATCAACAATGACAGTGTATTCATTGTTTTTATAATAGATAAGCTTTTTAAACTTTCCTATGTGATCAGTGTTTTTTTTAAGTTCTTTTTCTTTCAAATATCAAACTCGAACACTTTCTTCTTTAGCATCCCTTCTTTTCTTCTCTTTTTTTTCCAGTATCAAAATGGAAGTATTAGTTAAGTGTTTCTTTTGTCACATCCCCCCTACGTTCTTCATGTCCTTATTATTGTTTTTTTTATGTAATATCACTATCTTAACACAAGGCAGTGTATGTATTGTTTAATTTTTTTTAATTACTTTAGCCACAATACAATCATCCTTATTAGTTATATATCTCGACAATGTAAATTTAGACTTTAAAACAATTTTACCTATTGAATGTCTTTAATATAATTTTTTTGGTCTTTTTTTTTGTGATAAACAAAATGAACGAGGGACATGTAAAAATAAACAATGAATTTATATATGATGATAATTGTGCATTTAATAT